TAGGAAGAAATTGGTGCTAGAACGAGTTTGGCCGGCGCCTGTGGCTCAAGCAGCTAAGGCACCAGCCACATACACCTAGGGTGGCCGGTTCGAATCCCCAGCCCGGGCCTGCCAAACAACAATGATGGCTGCAACCAAAAAATAGCCAGGCGTTGTGGTGGGCGCCTGTAGTCCCAGCTGCTTGGGAGGCTGAGGCAGGAGACTCGCTTGAGCCCAGGAGTTGGAGGTTGCTGTGAGCTGTAATGCCATGGCACTCTGCCCAGGGGGACAGCTTGAGGCTCCGTGTAAAAAAAAAAAAAAAAGAACGAGTTAAGAGGATCCATCCCCAAAATTGCTTGATTGGTGTGTTCTTCAAAAAATGAAAAAATAACTGAACATCCTTTACAGTTGACCCAAAGATACGGAAGAAGGCACCAATTAAAGTTAATTTCCAACAGAGCTGGATGCTGCAAATCAGAAAACCATCTCTAGATCTTTCTACCTTAATGAATATCACATTATAATGAGTCTTAGTGTTTTCCAGTTGAGCATCAGAAGTCTCACCATCTATTTAATATATTGCATTCCAAGTATCTGTTTATTCAGTTGTTACAAATTGCCAATGGGACAGAAACTGTCTGTCACTTCCAGAGCAATTAAGTGTGTGAAAACTTATCAAAAGAAATCTGTCAAGTTTGAGTAAGTATAAATATTGCATGGAAGTCCCTAAGGAAATCAAACTGAGTGGGGTACTTCTTGCTCACTGCTGCAGCACATGAGAATTTATTTTGTTTTATTTACTTGGCTTTATTTTTCAGAATGCTGATAGCATTTCATGGAGCCCACTGGATTAATGTTTTGCTCTGATAAAAATAGATTTTAGTTCTTAGGGGAAATCTGAATTGTCTGGGAGTGATATAACAATACTAGCTCTTTACTTTTCAAATGTCAAGAGCTCTTACCGTTTTCTAGGTGGAGCGTTGGAATGGGAGCTTAGACTGAAGGACTCGAGGTTGTAGTCAGTCTGCTTGGCCACTTTCTGGTGCTCCAAACTTACTCTTTCAAGGCCTCAGAATTTTCAAATCTTTAAAATGAGGAAATAGGACAAGTGACCTAGTGGACACTTTTCAGCTTTCTTATGCTTTTTGCCTGCTCTGATATCTGCAGTATTAGTACATTAAATCCCTCCTGCTCTTTCCTGATTGCCCTGCACACATAAATAAAAGGACGATATTACAGGTGGTGATATTTGCTGTGAGAAAGTTAATACCTAGGCTAGAGATTGCCCCCTTGTCTTGGGAGCTCAGCCCTTAGCTCACTGTACACCAGCTAGAACTTTCCCCCTTATTGACAGAAGTCAGATGTTAAAACTGATGTTAGTTAGGATCCTTAATATGTTCTTTTGAGGATGTTTTTGGCAGCTATGGTTTGTGCCCCTTATTGCTACATGAAAAATGGTTATAGTGTTAAATTGTTACAACTTCAGAAATTTACAACTTTAATTCAACTTTTTGCTGATTTCTGTTATTCTATTTAATGGTACTTAATGTTTTTCCGCAAAACCAAAGTAATAGAGTTCACGATCATTATATTATACTTATTGCATCAGGGTTTCCCAAACTAGGTTTGGTGAGCTATTAATAGATGTTTCAAAAAAGCTGTGCATGAGTGGGCGGGGTGCAGGTGATGATGCTGATAATTCCAGATCAAGTAAATTTGGATGCTTTAACTCTCTCCCAGGAATTTCAAGGACCTCGACATGATAAAATCTCTTGCCAGTCTTAAAAGAAAAAAAAAATGTAAAAATCTCTTTAACTGTTTAATCCAGTGCTTCTCGAAATCATTTGACCATGTAGCCTGTTTGAATTTGGGGGTCGTGAAGCTCTAAAACAGGGAATTAATAACCAGGGACCACAGTTCAGGAATTGCTGCAGGACGCACTGAGGGTTGCTTGCATCTCCCACCAAAGCAGTAAGTTATGTAAATCACTGAGAGCAGTGAAGCCAAAGGAGGTAACTTATTTTGTTAATTGAATTTTTTTAATGTTCACTTTTATAAAAGATTAACCTGGTGAAGTGCAACCCAATAATACTAACATCTATGCAGCCATTTAGAGAATTCAGAGTGCTTTTCCATAAACAGATCCTCACCACACACCTGGATGCCATTAGAGTATCCAGTCTACTCAGCCCTACTATGAAACCAAGTTACGGCTTTCATATGAAAACTATAACCCAATTATAGCCCAAGAATATGCGGAAAGGGGATAGGGAGGGGGAAGGATAGGTGGAGGGAGGATAATTGGTGGGACCACACCTACGGTGCATCTTACATGGGTACATGTGAAATTTACTAAATGTAGAATACAAATGTCTTAACACAATAAGTAAGAAAATGCTGTGAAGCCTGTGTTAACCTGTTTGATGAAAATATTTCAAATTATATATAAAACCAGCCCATTGCACCCCACGATCGTATTAATGTACACAGCTATGATTTAATAAAAAATAATTAAAGAAAAGAAAAGAAAATTATCCTTTTTGTGTGTGTGTGAATTCAGAAGTTGAAGGTGAGAGTCTAAATGGCTTCCCGTACATAACACAGGTGTGGACTTTAGTTTTCTTGTATCCTATTGTTTTCCCATCCACTAGAAAAATAACAAAGCAGATGCCTTTTTTCCTCATCCCCCTTTCTCTTTGCTAAATGAGCCTCCTCAAAGCCTCACAACCACTAGTCACTAGCAACAGTCCTCAAAAGTTATTCAGGGAAAAGAAATAGAGTTCCCTGTATTTTATTACAATTCTCCTTGGAGAGAGGTATGGGTTGATTAATATGGTGCTGGTAAATTACTTTCTAACATCTACCCTGTGACTTTGGAGATGCTAATTTGTACTTAAAACTCTCTTATAACTAATTAGGGGATAGGCAGTGTTCTTCTCACTGTGCATAGGAGAAAATTGAGGTGCTGAGAGATTGCTGGTTTTGCCTGAAACTCACTTACTGAGTAAGGAAGAAGTACGTCATCTGCAGTGCTGATTGTTAAAATCTCCTGCTTTTATTGGGCGCCTGCTATACAGGGTTGTACTTCTTCATGACCTATTCTATGGGTTTTTCCTTCTCTAGGTTACAGTTTCTTGAGAGAATAACTGGCTTGCTGGGAAGCACTTGCTTATTTACACTGAATATCCTCTTGACATCAGCATGGGGTTACTTCTAATTACATGCACATTTGTAAATAAAATGATGAGCTATTCTCATCTAATCATAATTATATCTCTCAAAAATAAAGCATGTGGAAATGTTATAATCCAGTGATAAAGGGAAGGCAATCTGCATGACCCTCCTTTGTATGTAAACAGCAGATTATTAAGGCAGAATATGTTTCCTGTGGCACATTTAGTGGCGGAGGTCAAGTACAATTGGGACTTGTTGAACGATTAAACAATAAGACGTCTTTTATAGCAATTAGTGTTCTCTATACAAAGCTAAAGTGACCTGCCTGCCATTTTCCAAGGACACTTCATGCATTTAGACCAGGTGTCCTCAAACTATGGCCTGCAGGCCACATGCAGCCCACTGAGGACATTTATCCAGCCCGCCGGGTGTTGGGGTGTTTTGCCGCCGCTGCCTGTCCTGCTTAGCAGCTGACTTGTCCTGGGGCCCGCAGTCTGGCCCTCCAACGGTCTGAGGGACAGTGAACTGGCCCTTTGTTTAAAAAGTTTAAGGACCCCTGATAGACTTTAGCCCAGGATCATATTAAAGAGTGACACAAAATAACTCGGCCAACAAGTTCTGAAACAGGGCAGGGGCAGGGTGGGGGGCTCCCTTTGCATCTAATTAATCTCTCGTGCTCCCAACAACAAGTAATTTTTGAAGACATGTTGCCTAGTCAGTGCTAATATATCATCATTTGCCCAGCTTTGGACACATCTAGAGACCACACTTTAAAGAGAGGAGTAATGGAATACCTGACGCTAAAGAAGTTCGATTTCCTTAGAGCACAGTAGTTCAATGCTGCAAATCATGTAAAGTCACTGTCATTCAGGCTTTCTCTCTGCCACTGAAAGCATGGGCTCATGTGTTCATTCACAAAACCTTTAGCTAACTTTTTATGAAAAACTAGAACTTTTCCGAAGGAATATTTTCAGGTATAGCTGCCTAGTCCATTCATCCCATCGCCGTTCTGGAATGAGTGCGTATTTTTGAAAGGCTGCAGTTTGATCACTGTTTCATATTAATTCCTTTACTGATAAAATAATTTTCACCTAATTTGAAAAAGACAGATGTACGTTTATGGAATCAATCCACTTGTCAGTCACTGTTTGCTGTGGTCTTAAACCATCATCTCACTAAAATGATGGCAGAATGTTCAGCCTTAGAAAGAAGAGAGTGAGGATTTGAGTTGACGGTAGGAGATGTTAGGAGAATACTGCGCTGAAACTCAGGAATTATTCTTCCTTTAACGGGGCTAAGAGTTTAGGTTAAACTCTTCTGCGTCAGAGTTTCTCAGTTAAAGGAAAACTATCAAATGTACTTGGGAACAAGAAAGAGCTATGCAGATACATGGTATTATGATACACTGTAATGATTATTATACATAAAAGGAGAAGCATGATCTAAATAGTTTCCAGGATGGCTTTTGGCATTACTATATCAAGATTATAGACTCCTTGAATTGTAATTTGGACATTAGCTTAGCATGTGTTGAATGGTGCTTGGCCATGCTTAGCAAACTATAAATACAAATCCCCTTGACTTAAAAGGGTCGGGCCTCTTTTAATCAACTATCAGATCAATCCAGATCTTCTAATTCTCTAGAAATAAAACCTTACTGATTAACAGTGGGAAGACCAGGAAAATGCATTACGGGGACTGTGATTATTTCCTATTTATATTTCGAGAGCTGAAAAAGAATGATGAAACAACAGCATGAATCTGTAGCTCAACCCTTTCTTTCGTGAATACTGCTGCGTTATGGGACTGAAAGACATATTCGTAATGGAGATTCTTTTTACTTTCAGAGCTGAGCTATGCATGGATCTTCAATGAATACCCTTCCTATCAGGACAATCGCCGCTTCGTTTCTCAAGAAACTGGGAACCTGTACATTGCCAAAGTAGAAAAATCAGATGTTGGGAATTATACCTGTGTGGTCACCAACACTGTCACAAACCACAAGGTCCTAGGACCACCCACGCCCCTAATACTGAGAAATGATGGTGAGTTTTCTATGTAATTTTGTTAATTTGTTTTTTTTGTGACCACAAGCTTAGTGTGGAAAGATGTTATGTTAATGGCACACAAAGCTTGATTTTCTAAATTAGATTTCAGAAAAATTTAATGCTTTCTAGGTTTTGTGACCGTATTTTCTCCACTTGTGTAAGAAATAAGCCTGTGAATCCATTTTGGAAAACTAATTAGAAATCTTAATTGCTAATCTCAGTAAGAGTGGAATGTGGATTTAGGTAAACGTAAATAAAAAAGGAATTTACTTGTTTCTCTCCCACGCAGAATGAAGTGAAAGGTTGAACAATTTTATTCATTAAATGCAGACTAGGAGGCTCGTGTGAGACAGAAGTTTTAATTACTCACCCTACTGTGAGACTATATCAAGAAAATATGTGAATTTCACCTTACTCATCTAAATGACTTAACAATATTCAGCAAATCACCGTGTGCTTTTTGTTTCTTTGTTTTTGTTTTTGACACAGAGACTCAAGCTGTCACCCTGGGTAGAGCACTGTGGCATCACAGCTCACAGCAACCTCCAACTCTTGGGGTGAAATGATTCTCTTGCCTCAGCCTCCCAAGTAGCTGCTGTTTCCTCCACAACACCCAGCTATATTTTGGTTATAGTTGTCATTGTTGTTTGGCGGGCCTGGGCTGGATTTGAACCTACCAGCTCCGGTGTATGTGTCTGGTGCCCTAGCTGCTTGAATTATAGGTGCCAAGACTCCATGTGCTTTTTAAACGTACTATTGTATGCCAAACTCTAGGAGTTCCATGTTTTTGCCTACCATGGATTTTTATACATGTGTATGTTCTTACCTCCAACTGAAAAGCTCCCACTTGGATAACTGATGCTGCTCCTTCCGGTTTCTTCAAAGATAAACACTTTTTGGCCAAGTGAGGTGGCTCATGCCTGTAATCTAGCAGTTGGGGAGGCTGAAACAGGAGGATTGCTTGAGCTCAGTAGTTCAAAACCAGCCTGAACAAGAGTGAGGCTCTGTCTCTACTAAAAATAGGAAAACTAACCAAGTACAATGGTGGGCCCCTCTAGTCCCAGCTATTGGGGAGCCTGGGCTAAATTATCACTTGAGCCCAAGACTTTGAGGTTGCTGTGAGCTATGACACTACAGCCTGGGGCAACAGAGTGAGACTGTCTAAATAAATAAATAAAAGAGTGCTTAGCTACTATGTGGAAAATGGACTTTCCACAAGCAACATTGGAAACTGGAAGTGTAACCAGACTACTTATGCAGTAATTTAGTTGGAAAGTGACAGTGGCTTGAACTAGGGAGTGACTGCAGAGGGAGACAAATGGATTCAGGATGTAGTTTGCAGTTAAGGCTGCCAGGACTTGCTGACGTGTTGGTTGTGGGAGGTAGGGGAGAGAAAATCAAGGATGACATATAGGTTTCTAGCACAACCACCAAGTGTATGAGAATTTCATTTCTGAAATGGTTTTACTGAACAAGTTTGCAAGGGAACAATCAAAAATATCATTTTAGTCATGACCTGTAAAGCCCAGTATGTAACTTTTCCATTGGCAATGGAAAGAATTACTTGGTTTGTGTTTTTTTCATCCATTTCTCTGCTATAATATTCATCCGTTGTATTCGTGTTCACTTGTCAGCTTCCCTTCCCCACCATGTTCACATTATGATCAAAGAAAGATCATAGTTTTCATCCAACTTTGTATTAGTCCCCAGCAAAATGCTTGCCACGTGGCAAATGTTGAATTAATACATTAGATTAAGCTGCATTATGTTAAATAAAACTGAAAACTTATTTTAGTTTAGAGAGAAAATTAGCAAGGTATCAATCAGTTCTGTCAAAAGCTATCATTGTTATGTCTCCTGGTCTACACATGAAGAAGCTTTCAAAAAATAATACTCCAGTGGCATTTTATAAGAAATTATTTAAAAATACAGCTGCTCTAGCCTCTACCCAAAATGCACATATGCCAAAATATTTGTTTAGTGCCATTATCTGTTTTGGTGCATGAAGTCATGGGTGCAGTGCCCTAGTGACCTCGATGTGCTACCACGTAGCTGAGGACAGATACCACGCAGAACTGCTGCTCCACAAAGATGGAACAGAGAGCTCTCCCATCATCAGGGACACTTCAAGTTGGCGACAACGCCGCCTTTTGCTTGGCTGTTCAATTTATCTCGCCTTGTCTAGTGTACCTTAACAGATATAATGAATGTTTTTTATTAGAATATTTTATCCAGAAATTAGCAGACTGAAGATCTCATTCTTCAGCCATGAATCCCCACTCATTTAATTTCCGTGAGAGCTGCACGGTGGAGATTTGTAGTATCTTTCCCTTTTAAGGCTAGAGCACATAAAATGGATCCTAGAACTAGATGACTAAGCCCAGGAAAGTCTTTCCTGGAGGTGAGACAAAGGGAAAATGTAGAATCAAGAAAAGATTGCAAAATAAAGATGACACTCTTGTCAAAATCTATTCTGTCAGGATAAACAAAATGAAATTACTGTTGTGCAAATTCTGGTATTAGAGACTCCTTTAGACTGGTAAGTGCCAGGCAGGTAGAGAATTTGTACATTCTGGTCATTGACGTGCACTCAGAATTTCACCTCTGCCTTTTGCTTCAGCATGTGGATGCACAAGACAAAGCGGTCTGAAGCGGAATTGAACTAATTTCCACCCTAGTCATTTCCCTTGCTAAGAGCAGATGTAGCTTAGCAAACTAGATTACCCCAATATATATTTGGAGTTCCAGCTAAGCAGTGCTGGACTATGATTCACTGTTTCCAGCCACCAAAAAGGTCACAGTGAGTCGTGAACAGTGAACAGGAAACTTTGGCTGAGAACAGGTCCTGATAGGTGTCAGGTATGACGTGTCTGTCCCATGTCTGGCCCACTGGTCATATTTACCACTTGCCCCCAGTACGGTAGAGTTTGGCAAGACCTTGGTGCTCCGTGTTCCCTTTTCCCAGCTCTTCATGTGGCTCACTCCTTCCTGCATCTCGTATCATGACTCAAACGTGGGGCCGAGGGGAAGGAACTGGGCTGTCCAGGTGGAACAGAGCCCCACCACTTATTAGCTTGTGACTCTGGATGTGTCCCTTTAACACCCCTATGCTCTGATGCCTCATCAGGAAAATGAGGCAAATAGTCTCCACCTCAGAGAATTGTTTTGAGTGTTAAATTACATATAAAGTGTGTTGAAATTGTATAATATTGACAACTTTTTTACCTAAGATACGCTTAACAAATTATATTTTTGTAAGACAGCTTATAATAGTACACAGATAGTATTATCCTTGTTTTTTAAAAAAATATGTGTGGGTAAATAGCAAAGAAACGTGGAATAGTACTCTCTAGAATGCCTGATAGATGTTAAAATTTAAGTTGTTTGACAGGAAAAAAAAATTCAAATTTTCGGCTTCTCTGTAGTTTCTCACTTTTCTGCAATGATGATAGATTTTTCAGATGTTTCAAACATTGGTAGAGGAGTGATACTCAAATTATTGGACCTAGAGGGCACTTTTGAGATCACCCAACTTTATCTCTTTATTTTTTAGAAAAGAAGGGAACGGAGCAGACCAGAGAAGTAGGGCAAGAAAGACAGCGTCAGGGAAGATTCTTAGACACCTCCTCCCAAGCCATTTAGCAGAAGTTCAGAAAAGGCTGTTTGGGCCTATAGATTTACATACTTACTTTGTTTCTTTTTCTTTATGATTTTTAAAGACTGTGTTTGGGGACTTCTTCCAAATAACTGTGCTATTCATTTATCACCTTAAGGAAGTATAAAATTGAGAGATGTTAGAGAAATGTGAGAGAATTTTAAATCAGAAATTACAATTACTGATCTAAATATTCTAAAATCTACTTTAAAAATGGATATAACTTGTTATATGCAAAAGGGGCCCTGTTGTGTAGGTGCCGTAAAAGGAAAAGATTTTCTTTGGGAAAAGTACATCATGTTTATTATCACTGCAAGTACTAAAGTGAGTCCATTGATCAGTATTAGCCCAATTTATGGTTATTAACAATGATGAACTGTTTCTAGTGTGTGCTTTCTACAGAGATCAGAAAGAACTGTTCCTAAATTTCTATAAACAAAGGTAACAGACCACCCATATAGCATTACTACTAAAGAAGTAATCGCCTTATATGATAAATTCTTCTGCTGTTAGGTACTACCGCCAACTCTCTTTATAACGCTTAAAGAGGCAAAGAATTAACAGAGATTACGACAGTCTTAATGTTTGTTATGGTATTTATGAACATCACATACATAGGTACATAACTGAGCATGAATAAAATCATTGTTTAGCTTTTGCCTTTTTACTATGTTTTCTTGAGACTGGCTGGAGATTGGTTTGGCCATTCTTTATTTTGCTTGTTAGAACCAAGATGAATGTTAAGAAGTTTACAGCTTGTATCTGTCTGATGAGCCCATGCTGTACACACTGATTGTTAAATAATTTTGAATATTATCTATATCTAAGAGATGCTATAAGACCAGAAAGAATGGGATTCCCACTATCTTAGAGTTTCAAATTCTCTCTCTGTTCTTTCTCTTTCCCTTTCTCTCCTCTCTTTCCATCTTTATACTGGTAAGCATATAACGTTGGAGGCATATATGTATATATACACTAGCCATGTTGTCTTTTGAGGTTAAAATGCAAATTTCACTTTTCTAAATGTTCATTATACTTTAAGATAGAAATTATTTAAAATTTATATTTATGGGCTCGGTGCCCATAGCTCAGTGAGTAGAGCACCTGTCACATACACTGAGGCTGGCAGGTTTCAGCCTGGCCCGGGCCTGCTAAACACAATAACAACTGTAATCAAAAAATAGCCGGGTATTGTGGCAGGTGCCTGTAGTCCCACCTACTCAGGAGGCTGAGGCAAGAGAATCGCTTAAGCCCAAGAGTTTGAGGTTGCTGTGAGCTGTGATACCACAGCACGCTACCAAGGGCAACATAGTGAGACTCTCAAAAAAAAATTATATTTATG